TTTGGTGCCAAGACTGTCCTTTCCCCTCTGTATATTCTTTTTTTTTTTTTTTTTTAATGTCTTAATTGATTTCAGAGATGTGAAGGGAGAGGGAGAGAGATAGAAATATCAATGATGAGAGAGTCATCATTGATCGGCTGCCTCCTGCACACTCTGGACTGGGGATCAAGCCCACAACCTGGGCGTGTGTCCTCACTGGGAACTGAACCACAATCTCCTGGATTCTAGATCGATGCTCAACTGTGCAGCCATTCCCGGCCAGGTCCCACCGAATATTCCTTGCTCTTTTGTCATCAATTGACCATATATGCATGTGTTTATTTCTCCGCGCTCTATTCTGTTTCGTTGATCTGTGTGTCTGTTTTTATGCCAGTATCATGCTGTTTTTATTACTGTAACTTCGTAATACAGTTTTACATCAGGTATTGCATGCCTCCAGCTTTGTTGTTCTTTGCTTTGGCTATTTGAGGTCTTTTGTGGTTCCATGTAAATTCTACAATTTTTTTTCTATTTCTGTGAAAAATGTCATTGAAATTTTAACAGATTGCAGTCATTCTGTAGATCACTTTGGGTAGAACAAATATTTTAACAATATTAATTTTTCTAATCCATGAACATGGAGTATCTTGCCATTTATGTCATCTTAAACTTCTTTCACCACTGTCCTATAGTTTTCAGCATACAGATCTTTTTATCTCCTTGGTTAAATTCTTTCCTAAGTATGTATTTTATTCCTGTTGATGCTATTGCAAATGGAATTGAATTCTTAATTTCTTCAATTGTTTTCTCTATTTACAGGTGGTTCAATATGGTAGCATTTACTTGATCTACTACAACCATTAGTCGAATGAACCTATTAATAACCATGCTTATTGCCTTGGTCATTGAATTTCTAAATCAAGGCTATAACCTTCTGAAATTAGCTTATCAAGGTGCCTCCTGATCTTCAGCGAGGTCCCCAAAGACTCCCCAATGAACTCCTGCAGTTTCTGTAGAAGAATCCACTAACTCTTTCTGGGAACCATTTTGACAAGATACTTAAGCATGTAGAAAGTATATCTTATCTCTATGGTCTAATATCATCTCTAAACCATATTATTTTCTAAAGCTCTACTTTAATCCAATAGCCCTGAATTTGTTTAACATACAATTATATTCTTACATGGATCTTACCTAAGAGGTCTTGGAAGGCTTACTTACTAAACATGTTTGCATTAGTCCTATTTGAAACCCCAGGAAGTAACTGGCACTTTGGGAAGTGAAGGCCTGAACCAGCAGAATTTCACTACCTCATTCTAATGTTAATTTTAGGTGTCAACTTGGAGGGTGTTTTTGAACAAGATTAAGTCTTTAAATTGGTAAACTGAATAAAACAGATTGCCCTCCACTATGTGGGTGGGCCTCATTCAATCAATTAAAGGTCTGAACAGAACAGAAAGGCTTCTCAGAGCAAGGTGGGAATTGTCAAACAGACTGACTTGTTCTTCATCTGCAACACTGGCTCTGCTGGGTTAAAGCCTGACATCCTTTGGAATAAAACTAGAACAGGGCTCTCCTGGGTCTTGAGCTTTGGTAGCATCCACAATCACACAAGCCAATTCATTATACTCAATCTCTTTCTTTATATACACAAATCCTATTGGTTTTGTTTCTCTGAAGAACCCTAATACATCCATGAATATCTTGTCCAAGCTGGAGACCCAAGTGAGTGTGTCCCATATCAAGTGAATAAACTTTTTCAAAGGCAAAAGAGTTTGTTCAGGACTTGGAGCAAGCGACCTTGAGACTTTGCTGAATAATTCAGCTTTTTGTCCCATTTTGAATAGTAACCTAAAACCAGAGTTTCTAGTCTCCCACTCTAATTAATACAATATTTAAAAGATGTACAGGAAATTTACATTTCAAAAATTCAAAAGGTCTATTAGCTATGGACCCTAATCATCTACCTTAATGCTTTATTAATTTCTCAGACTAAATCAGTTATGGATCATTGTGACAATCAACCAACACAAAACAAATTAATTGAGCTTTAGGACATATCTGTTCTCAAGGTGCTTATAATCCCATGATAATTTAAATAATACCAGAGAATTTCAAGACATAATTTAATGATACATCATCAAATGGTACAAAGAGTGGCAAAAGCCCTGAAAGTCAATTTTCTAAATTAAGTTTAACATAAAACTTTTAACAACCCAAAATGGTAATGCTTACAGAGCAAGAGCAGAAACAAAGGTACAGATGTGAGGACGTATTTAAAAATGAAAACGTTTGAAAGAAAACTCTATACTTTTCGAATTTACTTGGAAAACTCTCATCAGAAAAAAATTCCATTTGTATAATTGGAAATCAGGCAACAAGCATACGTATAATAGTTCTTTTGTCAAGGTGACTGAATTGTCATTATCTCTAGCATGCTCTCATGAACACACAGAGCTTGTGGGTGAGGAGTGGATTGGAATGGACCTTGAGATTCTCAATGGAATAAATATCACACTTCAACCTCATACCAATGCTTCCCCTTAGTGATTGAAAAGTTCAGGGCTAATCACCAATGTCCTCAGTAGGCCTGACTAAACATTTTGAAAAAACATACCTATCTTTGTTGCGTACAGCATCATTATCTACGTCAGATTGTCTTAAGCAGATGTAGTTTATGCATGAAGTCATTATGTTTTTCAGAAAGTTCTATGATATTAAGATTCTAACAACAAAAGAATGTTCCTTACCCAGGGATCACACTACAAAATACTTTCCCCATCTAGTATTTATCTTGTAACTGTTTCATGGTTTGGTTATTGGTATATAGAAATATATAAATGCACACACACACACACACACACACAAATAATCTACCACCCATTTATTATAGAATAGCATCATGGCTTTGTCATGCTTGCACAGTATTCATTCTCCAAAGTTAACAAAGCGATTTTCACATATTTTATCGTAAAATATTTTACTACTTTTCTAAGGTTGAATTTCATAATCAACTGGGGTTTATTTTACTGTAGGGTGAGAAAAAAAGAAACCTTTTTAAAGTGAAAGGCCAATTGTTTTAAACATTAAGAAAACCATCCTTTACCACTATTTTGAAATGTCACCTTTAACATACATCTACACAGCCGTTCTGTTCCTATCATCGTTAGTATTTTAGCTTCAGAGTACTTTTTGTCATCATTGTGTTTTACAATAGTATAAATCACTCTTGTGCCCACTTTATTCTTTAGAATCAATTTTTCAATTCCCCTCACCTTTCAACCCACCCCACCACACACACACACACCACTGCGATTCTGATTAGCTGTCACTGACATATTGATTTTAGAAATAAAAAATTAAAACTATGAATTTTCTACAACCCATACTTATGAATGTGTAATATTCTCAAGGTTGTTTACTGATTTTCCTCTGAGGTCTGATTTGTCATCCATTTTTGTAATTATGAAATATTTGAAAAATAACATTTTGTTTGTTTATTAGGATCAAATGTGCTAAAATCAAACCTGTTCATTATGTTACTCAAATTCTTCATATTCTTACCAGTTTGGGTCTACCTAATATGACAATTTTTGAAAATATATATTAGCATCACCATGTGATTATGATTTTGTTAAATTGTCTTTCTTCTTACAAGAGTTTAGGAATGACATATTTTGTGGTATGTTGTTTGATGTGAAAAAGGTCCTAACTGTTAAAATGTCTACCAGATGACATTATATGTTAACATAAATACCCTCTCTTTTTTCCCCATGCATGGCATCCACACTAAAAAATTACTTTCAGAAAGTATTATGGCATTTCTTTCATTATGTTAGTTTTGCCTGCTAGAACTCAACTTATTCCTTTATTTCCAGTCTGTACAGGACACAACTAGATTTGCATTTTACTCTATGCTGTGAATACTTACTTTTATTAAGAGAAATTACCCCCTTATAATAAGCTATAGTAATTTATAAAAAAAATATTTATGATTAAGAAAACTAGTATATTTAGCCTAATTACTGACATTTTATTTTTCCTGATTATGACACATTTTTATTGTGCTTTTAGCCCTCCCTATTTTTTCTGTGTCTGAATCAAGTTTTCTTTTTTATTTTTCCTCATTTTGTAGCCACTTACAGTATTAGGGGCAGAATAGTGGGGACTAGCTGTAGTTATAAAAAATATTAATCTTGCTCTGTTAACTGTGATTGTTTTGCTCTGATTAGAGAAAATACATTCTAATCTCGCTGGGAGTTGTAAGCACCAGGATGTGGGAGTTAACCTTGGAATGTGGTCTACTCTCCTAATCTGAGAACTGCCTATCATCATGGAAAGATTAACAACCTTGTTGTGAAAGCAATGGAATCCTGGAGGAGCCCACCCTTTGCAACCCTCAGCCCACACTGCCTGTAATCTGTAACCACTGCACCTTGCCGACTTCCCCATGCCTGTAACTCCTACCTTCTCATGTAATCTTTGTCCTTCTACCCAATATAAATTGTTGGCTTATGAGGGGAGTGGGAAGGGGTAGAGCAGATTTTTGTGGATGACCATTACTGCTCTCCCATACTGCCAGCACTCTTGGAATAAATGCTCATATATGATTCAATCCTGTCTCTGCTTAAGAGGCTCAAGTAGTGACAGGCAGCCTGGACCCATTCGTTGTCCAGTTTCAACAGCATTTCATGGATCATGAAGTTCTTTATGTATATGTCAAACTACCAGACTCACAAACTTTTGGTCCCTCTTATTATGCAGGTAATAGAAAACTAATCTAATCTCTCTCCCTTTTTCCCCTGTCTAACCATAAATAAGCACGAAATAGTCTATATTGGGGATAATAGCAATAAGTCACCTTAAGATAAGATCACTTTGGAATTTAATAAACTTATGTAATATCTATACGAGCCAGGAAAAGGGAGGCCAATTTAACTTCATATTTATTTAATTAGTAAGAAGTTAGTTCCATTTATCTTTCGAACATCTCAACATCCTGCAAAAGACAAAGCTCTTACCGTTTCTTTTGGAATCTGCATCTGGCTTGGCTCTGCATTCTAGAAGAATTGAAGAAAAACATAAATACAGACTGACCAAAGCCATCTTCAACACACAGGGACATAAAGCTTTACTTTAAAGAAAATTCTGCTGGTTTTTAAAATCCACAAAATATATAGAGGGTGATTATATTCTGGCTGATGTATTACTGTGTCTTCCAAACTTTCACTGGTATGCTTATGTTATCTTGTGTGGGTGTGTGTTTTAAGAAGTTTTACTAGATGCATGTTTTTAACTGCTCATTTGCAGTACATCATCAATTTATTATATGAAGGAAAACAAATCTCACCAAACTGCTCTTCTATTTGTAGCACTGTTTCTAATTTATTTTTAATTTTTCCAACTAAATCTAAGTTATAAGTTATATTATAATTTGATAGCTAGACCAGATAACTTCAAGCATTATAATTTAAAATATTATATAGGTTTTAAATGTGATTTTTTTTCATATATTATAGTTTAGCTTTAATTACATAGATAATTACAAGGTTGATTTATTTAAAATCCACATATTAATGAAAGTATTTCATTTTAGACACAGAATTTATACACAGACACCCCAAACCAAGGAAGAGTTTGGTAACTGGAGTCAAAGATCATTTTAAATGCCCCCTTTAAGTTTTCAGACTTTTATTGTTTTAAATCTTGACAAGCAGCTGCAACATGGAAAACAGACTGAAAATGTACTGCTTACTCCTTAATGAAACACTCACAAGCAATAAATTAAACAATCAAGAAAATAAAAAGTAGGCAGCAAAAGGAGAAAACTGAAACCTGGAAGATCAAAATTGGACAAGAAGAACCTGAAAAACCTTCAGCGACCGTATGTTGGCACTAACTCTGGAAAGGCTGTTTAAGAGCTGTGTGCAGGCTTTGGCAATCTAATAATGCTATTACTCAAGCTCACATATACTGAGGAAGAATTAAAGCTTCATTAAATCATATCTTAATCTTGGTTTTGCTTTAAATGCAAATTTACAACTTAATAAAAGACATCTCCAGATTTGGGATCAGGTAGCATTTTAAGCACAAAATTGGATAACAGTGGAGGGAAAAGATACTAAACATTTTAAAATAGAAAGTTTTCAAAATCTACTTAAAACAAAAGTACTTGCTTTTCAGTTTTATCAAAATCTGAAATTTCAAAAAAATTATAAAACATGTTGTATCTGTTAGTAACCACGAGATGGGGTATTCTTATAAATAAAATTTATGTAGCTTGTAATAAAAGGAATATTTTATTCGCCATGAAACACCCATACTTGAGGTATTAGCTTAAGAGATTTAGGACTATAAGACAAATTTAGGGCCTATGCCCCTAAAAACTTGCCACTCTAGAATATATGAATTGTTTTTTTTAGATAAAGCTAAAAAGCTAGCTGAAAGAGATGTCAAATATTGTAAAATGATCCAACTAGAATGTTTTGAAATATTTAAAATACAATTTGTACTTGAAGTAAAACAATTCTCACATCAAAAGATAAAAGGTGATTCTTCCAATTATGTCATTTTTATATATAAGTGAAGCTTTGTCCTTTTTGCAGAAAAACACAGCTATGTCAACTTAATATACATATTTCTTTTGCACCAATACTATATAAATACCCCTATCTAATATTTAGATGTATTGGTATATGCATAAAAAGTGGAACAGTTTGCAAACAAATGTCTTTTCATTTGATTTATGTCATTCGCAATAATGTTTATGTTAGTAATTAATGGTCATGGGCCTTACTGACACTCAAGTCTTTCTATTTTCAATAATAATATTTAAAAGGTACTCCTTTTCATACTTTTCAAACAAATAAAGATACTTGTTCCAAAAAAACAAGTATCTTTATTTGACTTAGCCTCATGGACTATGAAAATCTGAAATATGAAGATTTGTCATATGTAGTGGAGAACACGGCAAGCTTTCAACAAGAGCTTTGGAAGTGATAGTAATGATATAATCAACGTCTCTGTATTCAATTAGTCCATCTGAAATCATTCAGTAATAAACATTTGCTGTTCTAGAAAATATCCCTGCAATCTGAATTTTAAATAACCTACATTCAATGTTGTAGATATCTATTTCCAAAACTGAGGAAATATGAAAAAAGAGTGCTCATATTAAGTTAAGGTTGAAAGACACATAAAATATAGAAACTACTTGGAAAATGTCTCAATAAACATTGGTCGTCAGAGAGCTAGCCCAGACCACCCCCAGCTCACATGCATCAGAAATCTTTCATCTGCTCTAAATTTACACACCAGTTCCCTTGGGTGAAAGGCATCTTCTTGGCGAAAGACCAGAAGGCTAACAGTCCCTTCCATTTTGGTGCTTCTCAACAGGGAAACAACTTCCTCTTGGGATTTGCCTGCTAAATCTACTCCATTGACCTAAAACAAATAAAAAGTTTTTAGCTGCAATCCTGTGCAAACAGATAACAGAAAAAAAGACACACATTCCAGAACTGATCACATCTGCTATAAAACAACTCATTTCATGGTAAAATGTGCATAAATCTGGTAATCACCAGGCTATTGTGGCTAATAAAGAAATCCAGAAAAGATCTTGAAGTGTGACAGGAAGTAGTAAATCTTTCAGTGCTTATCAATAAATCAAAAGCTACAGCCACCAGAGCATTAACAAGTAAAAAGTAATAAATATAGCTAATGTCAAGTTAACACAAAACTTCTGGGCTTTGAAATATTTTGATGGCCTGTATACCACAGGTTTTCTTATACCAAAATAAAATGTTGTGACTTTTATAGGGGATAGTAAAAACACACTCAAAGTATTTTGGGCAAAAATATTTTAACTTTCAATGATGAAGATAACAATTTTCAACTTCTACTAACAATTATGAAGATAAACCTTTTTATCCCTTAAAGGCTAACATTAAAGAAGAATCTCTACAAAATAATCATAATATTTTTGGAGGAATAGCAGTATTTCACCTGAATATTCTTCAATGTTTAAAAGAATCCTACCAAAACAAAAGGTTTGAAACAACCAATTCCTCAAGATTTCATCATTTTTATTTTATAGGAAGTATAATAAGATTATCAGAAAGTACTATATATTGAACAGAAATGAGAATGAAATTAGCTTTTAAAAAGTATTCTCTTATTTTCTTTAGACAAAAATGGCATTTTGTCCAAGGAATTAAATATATTATTTAAATTGTAATATCAAAATCTTCCTGTAGTTAGAATATGTTTTGGAACCTTTCCCCTTGTATTAAAACCACATTACATAGCTCATTATCCTATTATTAAGGGACTGCAGGAAATAGGTAAGTAACAACAAGTTAAAAGAAAGCAAAATATTTCTAAGTAATAAAAACGTCTCTTGATAATTTTTCTATATGCTTCTAGATAACCATATATTCAAAAAAAAAAACCCATAGAATTACCGATATTATATAGATAGTAGACAATTAGTTTTAAAACATGTGAAATTTAGCTTCAGTTTTAAGAGAAAGCTAACAGCTATAGAAAATAAAACGTAACTCGGGAAAAATACAAGTTGCAGGCCCTACTACCCACTGCTAAAAAAAAAGTCTTTGTGATGTATAGCAAGTAAAGCAATTATGTGATGAAAGAGAAACTCAAAAATAAAGTAAGGACCTTTAGAAAGAAAAAAGGTTGCAGAGGGACAGATTTAGGGAGAGAAGGAGGTCTGGGAAAAAGGACAGACATTTTAATTCTGGACTTATGGGCAAAGATTCAAGTCCCAGTTGAGACTCTTACTAACTAAAACAAGCTACAAATACAAACCTGAACTAATACTCCAGTTGACCAATGAACATGGGTTTAAACTGCAGAGGCCCACTTATACACAGATAATTTTTCAATAAATAAGTACAGTATTATAAATGTATTTTCAATTCCTTGTAATTTTTAATAACATTTTCTTTTGTCTAGCTTACTTGAAGGATAGAGTATATAATGCATATAACATGAAATATGTGTTAATCAACTGTTTATGTTATTGGTAAGGCTCTGATCAACAGTAGACTACTAGTAGGTGAGTTTATGAGGAATCAAAAGTTATACTCAGATTTTAGACTGTACGGGTGTCAGCGTTGTTCAAAGGTCAATTGTACACAATTTATACACCAAGGACAAATGGTCCTTTTTATAAACACCTTAAATATAATTTGTACTCAAACCTTTCCTTTTATTTAGCCTCTTCTATCAGAGTCTGTTTAAAATACAGTGTCACATGAATGAGACAAAAAGAGTAAGAGTAAGATTTAAATAATCTAGGCCCAAAATGTAGATATGGAAAAATCTGTAAATTATTCCTTTGCTCCAGTACTTTACAGAAATCTTTAGGAGAGCTAAATCTGGAAAGTTCAAATGACCCAGTGATTCCTCTTCTAGGAATTTACCCGAAGAATCCCAAAACACAAATTTGAAAGAATATATGTACCGCTATATTCATTGCAGCATTATTTACAACAGCCAAGATTTGGAAACAGCCCAAGTGTCCATCAGTAGATGAGAGGATAAAATAAGCTATGGTACATTTACACCATGGGATACTACTCTGCTCTACAAAGGAAGAAAATTTTACCCTTTGCAACAGCATGGATAGAACTGAAGAACATTATGCTAAGCGAATCAAGCCAGTCAGAGAAAGACAAGTACCATATGATTTCACTCACATGTGGAATTTAATGAGCAAACTGAACTCCCAAGCAAAACAGAGACAGACTCATAGATACAGAGCAAGCAGAAAGCTCTGGGTTGGGGGGGCAGGGGTTAGTGCTGGGAGAGGAGGAATTGAACAAGAAAAAAAGAAAAAAGAAAACTCATGGACAACAGGTGTGGTGATTGCAGGGGTAAGGGGGGATGGGTGGAGGTGGCAGAGGGCATACAGGGGATAAAAAGTGATGGAAAAAATTAAATTTTAAAAAAACATTGTACGAAAATACAAGAAAAAGGGGTAGTATCATAAAAATTTACATTAACATTGGAATTTGAATATTAGTTAATATCTGTGCTAAGAATACGGAGTGTGCTTTCTGAAGAAAACACTAAGAAAAAATGGTTAATAAAGTATACTTTTACTCAGTATTTCTCCCCTTTATTTCCATATGCACAAACATTTACACAAATAGAAATTCTATATATTTATGTATGTCAAAGACATTTCCAAAGACCAATGAACCAAAACTCATGAGGTACAGAAAGGAAATTTTGAAAACTGTTTTCTTTTTTCCCTGACATTTGATTTTTATGTCTCAATTCATTTTCGACGCTGCCATTTGAAAATTTCCTGTTCCTCTCATTAAAATACACTATTTCACTTACTTCATTAGTCTCTGTTCTGATTACAAAGTAGATAACATTTCTATATTGCCAGACATAAATTTAAAGCCATCTAGAAATATAACCTCATAGGCAATGCACTTACATGTCAAAATGTTATGTTACCTCATAAACCAAATGTGTAGGTTACTAAAAATTTTAGTACACTAAACAAAATAGGTATTTCTCATCAAATAACATGGGAAATGTAAAAGTAAAGCATAAATGCATTGTTTTGTGATGCATACTTCTGCTAAAATGTTTCATATTTCATAAAAATATTTTTATTTTATTTATTTATTTATTTTAATATCTTTATTGATTTCAGAGAGAGGAAAGGAGAGGCAGAGAGAGAGAGAGAAACATCAGTGGTGAAAGAGCCATTGATCAGCTGCCTCCTGCACGCCCCCGACTGGGGAGTGAGCCCGCAACCCGGGCATGTGCCCTGACCGGGAATCGAACGCCGATCACCTGGATCCCAGGTCGATGCTCAACCGCTGAGCCACACCCAGCCGGGCAAAAAATATTTTTAAAAATAACCTTTCAAGTGTTAAGGACTTTGGACTTTGAAGCCGCTCACCTCTACCAGGCGGTCCCCTGCCTTCAGCCGTCCATCTTGGATGGCAGCCCCCCTGGGAAGGATGTTTTTCACATAAATTGGAGCTGAGCTTCCTATTGTTACATCTCTGGAAGTTATGCTGAATCCCAAACCTTCTGTACCTAAATACAGAGCAGAAAAAGAAAGTAAATAAAATGAGGTATCTTGAAGTTTACAGGTGTATTATACATAAAAAAAATCTGTTATTACTTTCTATACCTACTGAACATTTTGTAACTTTCACAATGCCTACATTTCTTCGAATATTTTAAAAGCTGTAACAGATTTTTCTAAATAGACTGAATTCTGAAAAGTTTAAATGGTTTACATACCAAAATACATTATTTTGAGAAAAAATAGGAATCTATAAAGATAGATTAAAGGTAATAAACATATATACAAACATGGTTGCTAAAAGTTTTAAATTGGTCTAAATGTTTGATTATGAAAATAAACTTAATTTCTCTATGACCCCCCAAAAATTTGTTAAAATCCATAGTACCTCAAAAAGCAATTATTATCATAGAATAATGGTATCCAGATTTGACAAGTAGGAGGTGGATAGGAAGATAAATGTTCAGGGAGATAAATAAGAAATAAAGAAAAGAGAAATTTTTCTAGATACAGATAACACAATCTCCCCAAACTATAATTACTCACAGCAATTTACCAACAGGATGAAACCTATTATATTTGCCTAGTTCTCTTCTAACTCACCTAAATATGACCATGTATAAAATAAAATAAATTTAAATAAACAAACAGGCAAAATGCCTGGTGAAGAACACATCCTAGATCATAGCTGCCAAGTCTGAGAATCATCATATCATATTTAAAGTACTAAACTTAATGAGGCATTTAAAAATTACTGTGCTGGTTTGTATAATTTAAATTCTTTGGCAACTTTCTTGACAGGCACTCTTATAAGCTCAATACGGTGCAGAAAAAAGGTTATATGTTACTGGAACTGACATGCAATAGGCCCAAATAAGCCAAGAAAAAAATGTGAAGATAATGACAAATTTCTAATGAATCAAAGAACTTTTATAATATTTCTAATAACAATTAACTTCTATTAGAGCTTTTAAAAAAGTTACTTAAGATATTAGGTGCCATTTCAGTTAAAATGATATTAGGACAAATACCTGCTCATTTCAGGGTGAATAAAGAGATGTGTAAAGGAAAAAGTTAAAATTCATTCATTTGATGCAGCACTCAGTACAAAACTATAAGTAACAACATATATTCTATAAGTAAACAAACAAATATGGCCAACTAAATATAAACTAAAAGATGGGTTAAAGAAGAAGCATAAAGTAGAAATGAAGAAAATATTCAATAATTATACCTGCAACAAAACCTACTGTTAATATTTTCAAGTTCAAACAAAGTGTTCATTTACTGCAAATCTAAAGTCACTTTAATATGCCCAGACTATTAATTTCTTAAGCCTTCTGTGCTGAAGACTTGAATGGCATACAGTCCATATGAAATTTTCCTAATTATTCTGCTGGGACTTTTCCATATGTCTCTGTGCTTTCATGAAAGTCTAATGACTTGCAATAACATTTATTTTAAAAAAATTCTAAATTACTCTCCTTTTGCACTATTAATTTGTATGCATTATAAAGACTAACTGAAACTTAATACTACTAAAATAGGAGCAATAACCCCTAAATCTGTAAGCTAAAAGTTCAGTCAATGACCTTTAAAAGGAATATAAACAGATAGCAATTTTTATTTAGCAAAGCCAACAAAATATTTTGCACTGACTGAAACAGATTATTGGTCTTCTCTTCTGACTTTATTAAAAGCTAATTTCTACAGAAGAACAGGGTATTTGAGAATGTCAAAGGACAATAAATATTAAGAAAACATAATTATGGAAGCAAGTATATAGGAACTAATCTATTTTGTGATATTATATGACATAGTTCCAAAATTATGCCAAAAAATCATTATAATGAAGGCTTATCTTTGCTTCTCTTTTTAAGTACTTAAAATTGATCTCAGTTTATGAAGAGCTTCTGTCAAAGCATATCAGGTCACTTTGAACTGAATTTAAAGTTTAACACTATGCTTTTTATGTATTTCTTTAAAAATGTTTAACATAACTGGTTAAAAAAAACATCTGTTAACTACAAGGAAAGCTTGTTTAATTGTCATACAATCATTATTTAAATAGCTGTATTTAGTATTAATCAAAGACAATCAGCATTCCTCACTCTTATAGTAAACTATTTTTATGTAAAATATTTGTAAGTATTGGCAGGAATGCACAGATAGTTTCTGCCTTTTGTCATACATTTTCACAGTAAATTAAAATCAAGATAGATCTATGAATCTCTATAATATCTAGATTCCTCAAGATCATCAAAATATTTAAAAGAAAATCATTGTTTCTATTTTTCTTAGGTTGATTACCTGCTTTCTAAATTAGCTTGTATAAAATGTAATCATAGCTTTTTAAATGCTATTAAAACAAGTTTATTCAAAAATTATTAATAGCAAATAAAATTTCACTTTATTTAAAAAGTTCATATTGTATAAGTTGCTAAAATATAAGAATTGTGTCAAAAACTAATTAACTTGCTCGGTCGGTATGGCTTAACTGTTAAGCATCTGGGAGATCTCGGTTCGATTCCTGGTCAGGGGACATGCCTGGGTTGTGGGCTCAATCCCCAGTGAGGGGCATGCAGGAGGCAACCGATCAATGACTCTCTCATCATTGATATTTCTCTCTCTCTCCTCCTCTTCCTTCCTCTCTCTGAAATCAATAAAATATATTTTAAAAAAACAAAAACAAAAAAACTATATAAATATCCTGTATCAGTGTAAAAAGGCAAAGATATTTATGAACTAATATCTTAATGACAATGACCAAGTAAAATATTTTTCCTTTGTTGAGAGATCCCAACCTGAATTTTATCTTTTTTTTACAACTCTATTTGTATTTCTTGATATGCTATTGCTTAAAAACTAGGGCCTGTCATTTAAGTAGAGAAACAGGAAGAAAGAGGATCTGCCATTTCTCATTTAGGAATTAACAGAGCTAAAAAGGGGTTTATGCTGCTATGACTCTGTGTTTGTAATGGGTTTCAAAAGTGGAGTAAAGCTGTCAATTCCTGGTCATGTGAAACAAGTACTTGGAGCTTAAAAGCCAGTAACCAGAAATAAGGAATTTGTTGTTCATATAAAGTTCAATGCAAGGACATGATTTAGAAAGGAAATAGGAATCTCAGAGTTTACAAGTTTGTAAACCCTATCCCAAATAGAAAGAAAAATTGTCTAAATGTCAAGTTATGGAATGGTTTAGTAGGACACTACTGCCATCAGCAGCCAGGTGATATTAGGTAATCACTCAACCTTCTCTTGGGTTCATTTCCATATAATGGCAGGAATTGGTTGATCTCATAAAAAGAGAAATATTCTTATAATGACACCATTTTGAAAGACATAATATAAAAACATCAAAATGATCAGCTAAAATTGCAGACTGATAGCAAAAACATATCTCAATGCCTGGAGAGGACAGCGATTGGAAATCAGAAAGTGAATCCCAGCATCTGCTCTAAGTTATGGATCCTGTACACAGGATCCATGGTCTATGGGATGGGGATACTTAAAGGAATAAGTTGATATTAGGTATATGTAATAAGGAATTAGCAAGGCTCATTATAATCCCCATCACCTTAAGAAAGGGAAGCAATGTAATATTCTGGAACAATGGACTAGCTTCTCCTCATTCTACCATGAGCCACTAATAGCGTCAAAGGAATCAATCACTTCCAATCACCAAAATGATGGGGTTGAAATGGAGAACCTCTTTGAAGTCCTCATCAAGTGGGATGATTAAAACAGCAGATCCTGCCTGGCTGGCATGGCTCAGTAGTTGAGCGTCAACCTAGGATCCACAAGAACGAGGTTCAATTCCCAATCAGGGTACATGCCTGGGTTTTGGGCTGGATCCCCAGCAGGGGGGCATGCATCATCATTGATGATTCTCTCTCTTTCTCCCATTTCCTTCCTCTCTCTGAAATCAATAAAAATATATTTTAAAAAAAAGAAACCCCAGCAGATCCTCACTACTATTTGGGGTTTGAATGTGACATCCTGAAATCATTTTCCTTCATTGTTAAAAATTTTATTGCAGTAGTAACTGCTATCTTCACATGAAACTTATTTTTTAAAGCCTTATTCTCTGATCGTTTGAATTTTTATATAGCAAAATAAATCTGAAAAGCATAAAAATACATTTTAAATACTTTTAAAAAACAATCATTACATCACTTTTTTCACACAATGGGATAAAACTTAGGATGTTTTGGGTTAGTTGGTTGAGTTTTAGAATAAATTCCATCAAACAAAAACAAGATAGGCTGTACCTTTCTTAAGCTGGATATTCAGCCTCTTGCCTATTTTTTTGGTATTATAACCACTGCTTACACTTGTACCAAATACACTTTGTGGTGCTGGGGCTGGAGCTGCTGGTGGCTTTCCAGAGGGCTGTGTGCTCTGAGGTAGTCGTGGGTGCAAGTCCATCTGCTCGGCCTGGTGGATCAGTCTGGGCGCTCTCTGTGGTGCCTGAAGCCCTGCACTGTTCACATTCCTGTTATCAATATAATGGCTCTCAGGGCTAAAGCGGCCTGAATAGTAATTGTTCTTCTCACTTTGGGAGAGTTGTTCATACTGCTCTTTATTTGCTGCAGGAACCACATGGAACCAAATGATGGGTGTGCGCATGGCTTGACGAAACATATGCTGTGCTCTGGATTTGAGAACGAATGGAAAATTAGCAAATTAAGACTGGCAGACTAGAAGATATTATGAGCTTAATTAAATATACTAATTAAGCAATAAGAAATGATACACTTTGTTGAAACTGAAAAACAAAATTCTGATATCCCATTTATCAATCAAGTTTGCAAGCTCTGATAGAAGCATAGCTGTTTTTCCAAATATAAATTTCTCATTCTCTAAATAAAAGTGACAAAATTATCACAACTACAGGTAAAATACTATGCTCTGAACTGTAAATCATTAAATTATAGTTTTAAGTACAATGGAGGTACTATAATTTCAATATTAATAGAAATTAAATACAAGCTCCTCTGTATAACATTATCCAATACCACTTTTAATAAAAATTATAAAATATTTCCTTATGGGGTACAATTTGAGTTTTTAAAGAAATATACTTAGAAATATACTTACAAAACAATAGAAAGCACATTATGTATCAGCAAAATTAATTCAAATCTGTATGTGCAAAAATCCCAAGAACACCAATGCAGCCTCAATGACTCAGAACGTAAGGAGTTGCTGGCCTCGTGCTACTCCTTGACCAAACTGGGAACTGCTCCATCTCATGATGATTGCCCAGTCCTTATGATTTCTGCTCAGTCTTGCCTTGTTTTATAAGAACCAGACAACTTTATCTTTTTAATTAAATAAGGACACCTGAATCAGGATAAAGAAAATCTGAGCAAACTACACACTGTGGTTCAAAGAAGCTTTGTCTGCTTATTTGTCCTGAGAGACATTACGTGAGACAAAGTTGGAAATGTGAGTTACAGTATAATACAAACTGGTACCCTGGTGAATTTCCCAAAAAGGGAGAAAATAGCAAAATTGTAAAGCCTAAATTGGGCCCATATATTTTAAGCAGCACTCTACCAGTCCAGTCAGAGGGCATTTTAAAATACAGTCTCATGGTAGTAATTAGCTAGTTTAATTAAATACTTAAAAGCTACATAAATCAGAAAATACTCCTCTCCAGTAAAAGACAGAGATCCCAGACTTGCTACAGAAAGTATTTCAAGGGACCGCACTCCACCATGCCTAAAGCATGGAAGCACAGCGTGCCACCAGCACACACTTACTGTTCAAATCTTCTATTTCGAAGATCACCATCATTAATCCTGACAATGCAATCGTTCTCATGAAAAAGGTTTTCTTGTTCAGCTTTACCACCTTTCTCCAGTCGTTTTACTAATAACCCTAGGGTTCTGGAACATTAAGAATGCAAATCATTACACATGTAATATTTCGACTGTGTACAATGTCCCACTGCTTTAACGCTGGTACTACAAAGACTTCCTAATAAAGGGGTATATTAAATTGCTACTTATACAGTAACACCACAGAAAAATTAAAACAGTACAAATGATGTGTAGAAAGGAATTCTTTCAAAAAATATAACAAATCATTTCTGGTTTGTCAGTATTGTGTTTCTGAAACAAACTGTACACTTCTATGCTTAAAAATGCCGCAAACAGAGCTCGCCCGATGGCCCAGCGTATGCTGCAATGTGCAGCATGGACGGGCATGTATTTGTGCATAGGTCTGGCAGTTTTCTTCTGGTTTTTGCCAGCTGGTACGCTGCTGATGGCAACCTCCATCTTACCATGAGAGTAACGAAGGAGGAAAGACCACCTCAGCACATTGTACATTTGAGAAGCAAAACAGGAAAGATTTAAAAATAAAAGGTTCCATTCTTGCCATCTGAATTTGATAGTGCCTAATATTCTGAATTTCAAAACTTATTAGATCTCCCTAAAGTAAGTAATTTGTTGCCATTATTCCCATTTGAAGAAAACCAGTAATCGGTTCAAATAATGCCACACACTCATCTCTTCAATGTGCACTCAAACTTGAGGTTGAAAGAAAAGCCTGAATGAACTTTTAGAGACCAATATGGAGGGGAGAAAACTAAAAATTACTAGTTACATGGTCTAGAACACTATTTCACTGACAAGGAAGGGCATTATTCATTCCACAGTAAAAACAGCAAAAACTTTATATGATCACAGTACAAGGAATAGGAATCGTTACCTAGTTCTAATGTTGTGATTTATTTGACATTTGGCATAAATTCTATATCATAATCATGTTGAAATTTTTATGAACGAATTTTTGGCTTGTCCAAAGTTTGTATTTTCTTTCATAATCCTAACATTTAGAGAAAAAAGATGCCCTAGAAATACAATTTATAATTCTGCATATATTAAAGCTGAAGACACCATCAGTTCCAATAGCCTATATGTATTTTCTAATAGCATACAATTTGCATTAGCCTATATATCTTTCCAGTAGACATATACCCAAGTAGTTTATTCTTTTACAGTAAGTGTTGTTATCTGTTCTGTGGCCATTTATCTCACTGCTCTGTTATTGTTACTGATAGATACACCTTATCTCTACTAAGGCATTGTACACTCCTGGAAGATGGAGAAGATGGGCTTCAACAATATATGCTCAAGCTCTTAGCTAGTAGTAAGGTCTTGATAAGTGACAAGGGAATGAATGAGTGATTGAGTGTAGCTGAGGCAAACAAGTCTCATATTTCTAACTAGCTTTTTGCAAAACAGAATACAAGTGAAATGAAACTGAGACTCATCCTTTTTTTCATGAAGGTGTCATTTATACAAAATATATAATTGAACTGACATAAACTGAATTGCAGCAAAGGTCCTTTTTCACTTATTTTGCCGTTTAATCTTGTTTCTTTAATGAATATTTACAGTCATCATTTAACTTCATTCTAATTTTTAGTATTAAGTAAAGAGGCACTGTGTTTTACTAGGGGCAAGTCTACCAACTTGCAAAAATAATAAAAGGAGATAATATTTAAATTGTCTATTGTAATTTTACCATTTGAGGATTAGTATCTACTAGTGTAAGAGTCTAAAAATCTAGTCATTGATGAAAATAATATTATGTAAGTAATTTTTAGTTACTACCATATATTGGAACTAAATCAACATAAAAATTCTCTGAGCTCAAGGTAAGAAAGTATACGGATATAGCTGCATAAGCAACTTAACTGTTTGAGTCTGTATTTGGAAGAAAGAGATTTCATAATAAGCGACACCAATGATGAAGTTATTGTTAAAATGCCATCATGCCCACAATCTACCTCCCTATGCTTCTCTACTGTTTAAGTTGTTTCTATGTGCAGTTGAACAGTGTTCCATCAGAAGAATCAAATTAAGATATATCTATGATTCTACTGAATGGGACAAAATAATTTGAGAAATCAAATTAAATCACACTACTGATAATAGTGGAACAAGTAAAAGACATCTGGCCACTTTACCATCAAAGGAAAAGGTGACTCAGTGACTCACAGGCCATCATGATATAACCACAAACGTGGTGCCACACCTGTTGCTATAAGCTGCCTCTATAGACCAAGACCACTTTAAAAAACAAAACAAAAAAACACAGCCCTGGCCAGGTGGCTCAGGTGGTTGGAGCACTGTCCTATACACCAAAAGGTTTGGGTTTGATTCCCACTCAGAACACATACCTAGGTTGCAGGTTCAATCCCCGGTCAGGGAGTGTGCAGGAGGCAACTGATCGATGTCTCTCTCTCTCTCTCTCTCTCTCCTTTCCCCTCTAAGTATCAATAAAAACATATCTTCAGGTCAGGATTAAAAAAATCCCACATAGTTCCTGCAGTAAAAATACATGCTACCAAGAGTTGCTCGGTTAGTTTTTAATTGGTGAAATCATAGTTACATTTCTGCAGCCTAAAGTGAGTAATAATTATGTTTTTATATATTCTAAAATAGTTTTTGTATTCTAAAAGAGTCCACAGAATATTTTTAGAGAAATATATACAGCCTACGTTTAATAGAAATTACTTAGCAGTTAACTGATAATTTAAATTTATAGATTTATCCCTGGTAGCATTAACTCAGTATTTATGACAGTTTAAAATAATGTAACTTGGAAATCTGTAATTTAACTACATTTTTCAGATGAAGAGGTCTATGGATTTATATTCATCTAGATAATCCTTTTTCTTTTTAAATTTACTTTTTCTTTCTGGGAAGGCACTCTAGATGATAATCCACAGTAAAAAAAGCATGACATACTTCACTTATTGAATGGCTTGTCTTTCGGAATAAGCCCTCATATGTGGCCAAATGCATCAATCATCATCACATACAGTAAAAAAAAAAAAAAAAAAAAAAA